TGAAACCTTTAGAAGTTCAGAAAGCCTATTTAAAAACACAGTAACTGACAGAAACACTGTAAAGATCTCAAAATACAGTATTTTTTTTTAAAAAGGACAACACTCAGATTTCAATCCTATCAGCTTATTCCCTAAACTCGGCAGTGGCTGATTATCTTACGAAGTGGAAGCAATCCCTGCCTTGCCTACTTAGTGCCTGGGGGATTGAACTAGACATGGTTTTTTAGCCCATCTAAATTTTTAGCCCCTCACTCACCAGATTGCCCCCTTTGTCCCCTCTCTGAACTCACTTTCCAAGCCAGCTACAAGGGGGCAGGGCAGGGGGAAGAGTTTAGAATGCCAAATCCCCCTTCCGAGGTTGGAGAATCACCTCTGACCACAGATGCAGGAATCCAAAGAGTTCTATGATCACAGGGATGCCAGGGATCATACTGTAGGTGCCAAACAAGCCTCTCTTGGGAGGACATTCCACAAACAAGGTGCCACCACCAAAAAGGCCTTCTTTTCAGTAGCTACCTGCCTCACCTGCTGAAGATGATCCACATACCAGAAGAATCTGGAGAAGTATAGGTTCTTGTCTCCTGGGTTCTTGAAAAAGTAGCTTTCAGCAAATTGCAGAAAACTCAGGGGAAACAAGACTTTGCAACTGGGGTCTCAGGCACAGCCTTTCACCATGCCTGGCTCTTTTCTGGCCAACTTTCCAACTGGAGAACTGCAATCTTACAGTGTAAGGTGGACCGATCCATACATAGTACCACCGAGTCACCAAGGATCTCCGAAAGAATAAGCCAAAGTCTTGGTGAAAGGTGTGGTTTTTGAGGACCTCAAGAGGGTGGAAGAGGGAGTCTGGAACCTCTTGTTCCTTTCTTTCTGCTAGTTATGCTACCTTTTTAGGTCAAATGTGAGCAATGTGTCATCATAATAATAATCTTATTATCTTAAGAGGAAATGCCCACATAGTGAACTTAGCCCTGCTAAAAAAAGAAAGAAAACATTCCTTAATTGCAGCCTTGGCTTGAAGGAGAGACCAGTTAGGTTTATGGCGGAGATTAACAAAATTGCCCTGCCAAAAACCACCCAAGGCAGTTCTGGCGGCACAGACTTCCTTTTGCCTAAGCGTGCATTCTCTATGCATTCATGTGTGCGTATGGCCATTCTCCCGAGCAAAGAGTTGTTACTGCAACCTGGCAGGTGCAAACTGAGCGAAGGACTCCTTGGTGGAGAGCTGGTACACACACATGCCCAGGGTTGCACTCATTCTGCAAGAAAGGCTTGTGCAAGCCCCCCTGCCAGGGCATCTCATGGATCCCCCCAGCCACAGTGGAGCTGCTGGCCAAGTAGTGAATGACTGATTGATTGATAAGACACCCCTGCAGGTTGTCTCATGAGCACCTTTGCAATAGGCTAGTTGGAGGAATCCAATACACAGTGGAACCCTTCAGACAATCCAGTTCCATGCAGGTGATGTTGTATGACTGTTCATGGGAACCTGTTGTGTATTTGGTTGTGTAGCTGCACAGAACCAGCGGAGGGAAGCATCAAGCAGCAGATTTAGTTAAGAGACTGCTGTTTGCACCTGGATGGATCCATGAGAAACCACACCGAGAAGCTTTTTAGCAAAAAAGGTAAAAAGGTTTCGATAACCCCAATCAAGCCATGTATCATGTGCATGAAGAAGACAGGTTGGTGTCTCACTGCTGGTCAGCTTGGTTCAGTGTTAGCCGGTTAGCTTAGAAGTAGAGAGGAGGACATGATTTTGGGGTGAGGTGGTGGGGGGGACAGATCTTGTGACTCTTTTGCCTTTGCAAATGAGGTGGACAGACTCCTTTTGTCCAGTGAATTAAGCCTTTCACTCCCTCTGGTTCATGGACAGAAGCATGCAGCGTTCATGCAGGCGATGTTACATATACCCAACAAAAGTTGCATGTAAGGTGCTTCTAAGGCAGGCTTCCCCAGCCTTGTGCTTTCGAGACACGTTGGGACGACAGCAACCAGAATGTCTAGTCAATGGCCCTGCTAGATGGGAATTCTGGCAGTTGCAGTTCAGATGCCTCTGAAGGCCACCAGGTTGGTACTCTAAGGGAAACATCGCATCTGTTCCCTGTCTAAATTATAGCAGAGATGCCTGCCGAGGCAGGAAGACCCAGCTTAGAATGGGTCAGATCATGAGCCCATGAAGTCCAATACTGTTGACTCTGATTAGCAGTTCCTCTCCGGGGGCTTTAACTTCACCTGCTACCTAGTCATCCTTTACCTGGAGACACCAAGAATCAAATGTGGGGGCAAAACAGGGGGCCCTACCACTGAGCTGGGGCAGTTCCCAGAGCTCTTCCAGATGTCAGTCTGGGATCTTGTGCCTCAGCTGCATCCTGGCCTTTTAACTGGAAATGTCACCAGGGACTGTCTGCCTACACCAGCTTATTCTACTTCTGCCTGGTGGAGACTGAAGCAGTTGCTTCAGGAGATGATGGCTTCTGGAAAAATTTCCTATGCAAATTGAGCTAATTTGCCTCAGGTGATTTGCATAGGGAAAATCTGTCTGAGTCAGAAAATATTTAGATGCCCTAGTGTGATTTAATTTAGCGTGTTTATTTTACTTGCATTTAGTAAACAACAAAACTAAAAAGAAAAATGCTCTATTTTTTGAGCCAGCTCAGCACTGCTGTTGGGCCTGAAATATTTGAGTGTGGCAGGGGAATTGAAGTACAGTTAATGTTATTTTATATAGATATTTGAACTGGAGTACATGCATAGATTTTGAAAAGTATCATTTGCTTCCTTACAATATATGACTTAAGAAAACAACCAAAGGTACTGAAAAGTGTTAACATACTAACAAACTTTAGCAACTGTGTGCATGACTTGCTGACAACCGCTTCTCTGTTTCAACGGAATTCAGCTGCTGGGGCACCCCAGTTTTGCTGTCACAGTTTCTTAGTTCCCTTTCACCCCAAGATGCAGATATATTTCAATAATGCATGCATTCATATATTTCTTTGCAATTATTAGCTGAAAAAATATTAATTGCCAGTTTGAAGCAGGCAATATTCCATTTCCCACTGAATACAGTCAAATTTGCTGAAATTAGCAAGACAAATCATCACCCCAGATGTGCCTGCGACAGCCCGTTGGCGTGTAGGCTGAGCTCAGGGAGTCTTGGTTTCGCAGCCCTAGAACAGCAGTGGTGGCAGATGGGTGGCCAAGCCCCACCTTCTGGTCCTTTCTTCAAGAAGCTGGGCTGAAGGGGGAACATGGGATTTCCCCACGTAATCCTCACAGCGGTTTGGTGAGGTCAGGTGAGAGACAGACAGCGGCCCACAGCTATCATCCCCACTTGGTGGCCCGGGCTTTCTCACCACTTAAGTCTCTCACCCAGCCAGTCCAATGCACTGGTCTTCCCAGTGGTCTGGATGCACCAGGACGCAAGACTGACTGGCAACACTGCTCTCTCCCAGGCCACCTGGGGGAAGCGCACTCCTGAAGCACAGGAACATCCCTGAACATCCAGATGTTTGTCTGGATGGTGAAAATGAAAAGAAAAACCAACCCACTGCTCAGTTTCTAAACCTGAGAAGAGATTGGGGCGTTTTAAAATTTCAAGCAGCAAGCTCTTTGTTTTCGTACTCAAGCCTAACAAATAGCATTAAGTGGATTAAATGAAAGCCTACCGCTCAGGTAATTGCCATAAAATAAAAGGTGAACGTGCAAGCGGGTTTCTTCCCTGAATGGTCCCTCACCCAGCACAGAAAAGGCACGGAAGTGAATGGTAGGTGTAGGTGGTCGATGCACTGAATGTGGACACATGTGTTCCAGATAGTTGATAGGTTCTGGGGCTGCAGGTAGATGTGATGCTTGCCAGGCCAGGCCATGAAGGTGCTGCAGCCTCCGTGAGTCACCAAATGTGGCAGAAAGCTAACCTTTCCATTCTACGCCTGAGCTATTTTTGTAAAGCCATTAGTGAGAAACTCGCCAGGGTCCCACTCAGTCATTTAATGCAAAACGGGGTGTGGGTGGGGGAACTTAATGTGATTCAGCAATGAGCCAGCAAAAGCAGTCCTGAATAGCAGAACTCAGTCCTGGGGCAGGCCGAGCAATGCAGACTGCTGGGCACCCACACCGGAGCGCTCTCTGCACTTGCAAAACCGAATGCATGATTGCAAGTCAATTCCTCCAAAAGCAATGCCAGACTGGCTCCTAAGCTGTGATTCGGAAGAGCAGGCATTGGTCATTTCGGCGGCAGACTAAGCTTGCAATCCCGTACCCCTTCACCCAGGAGTAACCCCTGGGTAAGTGAGCAAATAGTCCAATGGGCCGTGTTTACACACTCGGGCTGCGATTCCACTGAGCCCAAGGTGGGATTACTCCCATTATGCACACGTAAGATTTTGCAGCCGCGGCTTTCCTGGAAAAAGGGCCCATCCGTGCCCAAAAACTGAGGCCAGGGGAAGGCTGCACTGCTCATACTGCCTTCGATGGGAGGAAGCCCTTCGCCCCCGCCCCCGCGTAGAACTGACTTGTGCGCAAAAATGCAACGGAGGCCGCTGCGAGTGTGACTTCCGAGGAGCCACAATGAAATATTATCTTGTGCCTAGGGCGCTGCCTTCACTGTGGCTTCTTTAAAGCCCATTCATAAGATTTCGGAGATGCTGGATCGGGCCGGAGGGGTCCATCGACGCCGGCAGCCTGCTCCCCCGGAGGCCAACGAAACGCAAGTCAGGAAAGGGCCGCCCTTAAATGTGTATTGTCGTGTGTAAAGGTACGCACAGAAAGCACCCCCCTCCCCATTTGGGGGAATGCCTGGAATGTGGAAGATGGCACGGAGGCAGGCGGGGAAGGAAGGAAGGGAGGAAGAAAGGGAGGAAGGAAGGGGGCCGGAAGGCGGGAGGCTCTGCGCTGGCAACTTTCCTCCAGTGCGAATAGGGGAAAGTTTAGGCGCGCCGCTGCTGGGGAAGAGGGAAGGGGGAGGTGGGAAGGCGCCGCTCGCTCGCCCCCTGCCTTACCGCCGTGGAGCCGGACGAAGTGGCGATGTAGACCTTGATCACCATCCTGGCGAGCGACGCTTCCGTGCGAGGCGGGCGGAGCAGGAGCGCGAACAGCCCCACAAGCGGGCAAGAGGCGCGGACGCAGGATGGAGAGCGGGCGGGCGGAGCGCGCGGCGCGGACGCGAGACGGCGCGCCCCCTCCTCCTCCTCCTCCTCTTCCTCCTCCTCCTTCTGCGGCTGCTGCTGCGGCGGCGACTCGCGCGGGGAGCTTCCAGCCCCGGAAGGAGCCGGGGCGAGCACGTTCGCGGCGCGGAGTCGCCGCGGGGGCGGAGAGGGCGAAGGCAGCGCCGGCGCCGCGCCAAGTGCGGCGGGCGCCCAGAGGCAGGAACGGCGCGGCTCGCTGCGGGATCGCGGCCACGGGAGCAGCGCTCTTCCTGCGGCCGGCGCGCGGGGTCCTCGCTTTTGTGGGTGGCTTCCTTCAGGAAAGAAAGGGGGGTCGTTTTGTTCAGAGAGCGCCGCCTTCCCTCCTCCCCCCCCCCCCCGTTGCCTTTGTGATATGCTTGACTTCAAGTCTCAGCTCCGACCAAGCTAAGCTAAGCTAAGCTACTGATCAGGCATTGCAGCGATTCTCAACTCGCCAGGCGCGGGCGAGCTTTGGAGATGTCCCGAGCGCTTTGTCAGACAAGATGTTAGGAAAGGGAAGGCGGGCGGGCGGAGGCGTCTCCAGGCATGGCTGGAACGGGGCCGTGAAGAGGAGGGGGTCTGGTTTGCCTGGCGCGTGGGGAGTGGGGCAGGTTTCGCTAGAGCCCAAATGGGTCCAGAGTGGCAATAAAGGAGAACAGAGGTGATCCCAAAGGGCTTTGATCCCGAGGACGACTGAGCAAGCGTAGCAGCCGCGGGATACAGGGAGAGGGCCGCTTTTGGATCTGCTCAGGTTAAAGGATAGGGGACAGACTCTGGGAAGAAACAGCAGCTTCTCCCAGTGGACAAGCGTTAACTGGGATCCACCAGGGAGTGGATTGGGAGTGACCAACGCGGTGGCCAAATTTGCTGCCAACGTCCAATTGCTGAGAGTGGTTAAAACAAAAAAGGAATTGTGAAGTGTTCTGAAAGGATCTCCCCAAACTGGGAGAATGAACTCCAGAATGGCAAATACAGTTGGTGACTCATGCCGGGGCGAAAAATTCTCCCTGCACACCTAAGCTGCTGGGATCTGAGCCAGGGGTGACTGACCTAGGAAGAGAAAGGGCAGCCCTGTGTGGAAGAAGGGAGAGCGTTATTCTCCTCCTCTCACGCCTATCCTTGCCACAACAACCTTGTGAGGTAGGCTGGGCTGACAGTCTGTGGCTGGCCGGTGTGCTCTGTGGCTGAGCAGGGACTAGAACCCAGGTCCCCTGAGTCCCAGACCTGCACATTTAACCACTACACCACGTAAACACACACACACACACACACACACACACACACAATGTGCACCAATATATACAATTATGTGGTCCTTTATGGCCCACATAGCGCTTTGCATGTACAATAAAGTTCTAGATAAGGACGTTATAGTTCTTTGTATAACTGGTATGTCATTATGTGCCATCAAGTCATCTTGGACCTGTGGCGACCCAGTGGATGAAACCCTTCCAGAACGTCCTGCTCAGCCCTTCCAAGCTCAAGTCTGTGGCTTCCTTTGTGGATTCAATCCATCTCATACTTGGTCTTCCTTTTCGTCTTCTGTCTTCGACTGTCTACTCCGGGGAGACTTCCCTTCTTGTGTGCCTGAAGTATGACTGCCTTGGTTTGGTCATTTTTGCCTCTAGGAAAAGGTCTGGCTTGTTTTGATCCAGGATACATTGGTCTTTCTGCTGGGCCAGCGTATTCTCAAAGCTCCCACCCAGCAGCATGTCACAAATGCAGCTGCTTACTGCCTGTCCAGGAAGCTTTCTTCATTGCCCAGGTTTCACACCCGTACATCGCGATGGGGATACAATGGATGATCCTGACCTCAAGCTCCAATAAAATGTCCTTCCACTTGATGATCTTCTCTAGTCCCTTCATTGCTGCCCTTCCAACTCCCAGTCTTTTCAGATTTCGTGGCCACAGTCTCCCCTTGCATTGAGACTGAGTTTCTTTATTTCTTCATTATTAATAATAAAGTTCTGCAACTGTTCTGGAGTCGTGATTTTTGTGTCGTAATGTTCAGTGGCAGCCCTGCCTCTGCTCATTCTTCTTTCATCAGGAGTGATCCAAGTCATTGCTGCTTTCTGCCAGCACAATGGTATCATCCGCATGTCTTAAATTCCTGATGTACCTGCCATCGATTTTCACTCCTTCCTCTGCTCCTTATCCCATTTTTCTTATGATTTTTTTCTGTATGCAGATTTAACAGGCAGGGAGATAAAACACACTCTTGTCTGACACCTTTGCCTATAAGAAAGCATTCCTTTTCTGCATATTCTTTCCTCACAGTAGCTTCTTGTCCATGATTCAGGTTACATAGCAGGACAATCAAGGACTGAGGTGCCCCCCCACCCATTTTTTTCAGGACCATCCATAGCTTCTTTGCAAAGGCCCCAGCACTTCCGTTGTCAAGCGACTGCTCTTTTTAGGAGTCCTTACATGTGCCTTACATGTTAATCTATCTCAGAAAGGATAATGGCACTTTGGTGATGTTTTATTCAGTGAAAGTGATTGTTTTGAGTATATTGGACACCACAATATCTTTTTGATAAGGGCTTAATTGAATCAATCAGTTACTGGAAGTATAATGCTTCTCTTCCTATTATGTTTTGACATTGACCAAAAGGAGCTTCCTTTTGGGAAAAGGTATTAATTTGGATAAATTTTCTGGCAGCTAGTTTTTTAATATTTAAGGATACACATTTTATTTTGCATGACATAGTCATCTCTTGGAAAGTAAAGTAAATGGGTTTTTAGGCCCTTCTGACAGCCACGAGACTAATGTAACATTGGAAGGAACATTGGTTTGTTTATTATATTTGTATTTTATTTATTTATTTATTTATTTTTATTAAAACATTTTTATGCTGCTCCATTCGCCAAAGCCTCGGGTGGCTTACAACAGTAAGTTAAAATAATTATAATATAAAACAAAAATATAAACATTAAATTAAAAATACAAAAATACAGTATAAAATAAGCCACCCTGGCCAGATAAAATCCAATAATATTAACAGTTAATAATATTTGTATCCTCTTTTTTTTTTTTTTTTTTTTTACAGAACTCGAGGCAGCTTACATAATTCTCCTCTCAAGCTTATCCTGCAATCTCAACCATGTGGGTAAGGCTAGTTTTAGAGTCTGTGACTGGCCCAGAGTCACCCGGTGGGCTGAGGGGGGTCCAGAACCCAGATCAATGGGGCCCAGTCCCACATTCATCCTCACGCCCCTTAAGATCTATGGGAGAAGCCCTGCTCTGGAACCCTCTCTAAGAGAGGTAAAAAGGTCATCAACCCAGAGGAGGGCCTTCTCTGCTGTGGTGCCCAGACTCTGGGATGTACTCCCCAGAGAGGTATGCCTGGCGCCGAGTTTATACTCTTTCCGGCGCCAGGCCAAAACCTGTTTGTTTAAACAACATTTTAAGCTTTAATAGGTTTTAAGTTTAGTCGCTCTGTTTGTGATTTATTGTTTTGTTCTGTTTTATTATTTATTGCAATTGTTGTTTTAATTGTCTTTTTAAATATTGTAAGCCGTCCTGAGATCTTGTATAATAGGATGGCATACAAACGCTTTTAATGATGATGATGATGATGATGATGATGATGATATTTATTTATTTATTAAAACAATTTTATGCCGCCCCATTCGCCGAAGCCTCGGGGCGGCTCACAACAATAAATTAAGACAATAACAATTAAAATATATACATTAGAATAAAATAAGCCACCCTGGCCAGATAAAATTCAATAGTATTAACATTTAAATATAATATAATATAATAATTCTTAACTACTGCACCACATTTGAAAGATTCAACTTTTGAATGGGTGGACTTTACGCATAATTTACACATTCATAAATATATGGATATTAGGGTCCCTTCCCCTGACAGTTGTGCATAATTATTTTTAGCAGCAGTAATATTTTCCCTATATATTAATGTATAGGAATATGCAACATGCTCTTGAACAATGCAGAAAATAGCATGTGGGCTCTTGGAGTGGCAACGGTGTGCGTCCACACAGGGCATCACTCTCCAACTGAACAGAGACACCTGCTGGAGCAGCTGAGAGCTTCGGGAGTGCCTGCATTAGGAAGGCAATTAGAATGGCTAATTGGTTTAACTGAGAAACAGAAAACTTCACAGCAGTTTAGCAACTGGGTGGGCGTGCATGTACACTTCTGACACCTGAACTATAAATAAGACAGTCGATCTATTTTATTCCATTTTGCCTTAAATTAACACAATTAGATTTAGCTAGCCAAATGCTTCCCAGACAAGTTAAGGTAAAATGTGTCAGATGCCTTGTGTTGTGGAACTTCCACTCATCGCTACCTGCACTCAGATACTGCGTATACACAGATTTCCCCGTTATGCTCCTTGCATGTTCCTCTGCTTTGCTCTGCCTTGCATTCTGCTCCTGAATTTTAGTCACACTAGGATTTCTGTGATTAATTCAGGACTGAATCATGCTGCTTCATGGCATTTCCGTGTGTCCCTCATAAACACAGATGATGCACATCGACAGAGTGCCACAAAGAAGCGGTTTGGATGCGATGGTTTGCATGGTGGCAGCAAGATTCCTTCTGCTATCTTGGCTCTAATAATAAAGGATCGACACCTTTGACATGGATGCACTTTGTGATTTTGGATGTACCCCTTGTAAAATCCAGTTGATCTTTCAGGATCCAGACTTCACAAAGAATTATTGCATTATAGAACAGTAGAGTAGGAAGGGGCCAAAGGGCCACTGAGTCCAACCCCTGTTCAGTGCAGGACTCCCAATCAAACCATCCTTCTCCGATGGCTGTCCAGCTGCATCTTCAATGCCTCCAATGTGGGAGGGCCCACCACCTCCCTAGGTCATGTCACAGCATTCTAACAGTCAGGATTGTCCCCTAATGTTCAGCTGCTACCTGACTTGCTGTAATTTGAGTCCAGTGTTCTGTGACTTGTACTCTGGGGTGACTGAGAAGAGCTCTTGGCCTTCCTCTTTGTGACAACATTTCACGTATTTGAAGACTGATATTAAACCCCCCCCCACACACACACCGCCTTCTCTTCTCAAGGCCAAACCTGCCCAGTTCTTTTGATCTCTACTCATAGGGCTTTGTTTCCAGTCCCCCGATCATCGTTATTGCCCTACTCTGGACCCTTTCCAGCTTGTCTCCTTCTTTCTTAAACTGTGGTGCCCAGACCTGCTCCCGGTTCTCCAGATGAGGCTTAACCAGTGCTGAGTAAAGAGGAACTTGTACTCTACATGATTTGGAAGTGATACTCCTCTAAATGCAGCCTAAAATAGAATTTCTCCTTTATTCAGGCACATTGCATTGTTGACTTTTTCTTTTCTTTTTCCACTTAGTTTTCCCCCTATTGTCTCCTTCCTTGTAACCCACTACTGGTATGACTCTATTGTTGACCTTCAGGGAAGACAGGAGAAAGCAGCGGTTGTTATAACAGGCCCAGTCAGGGACAATCAAAAAGGAAGCAGAAAGAAGACTCCGCAGTGGTGGTGACCTGCAACGTCTGTGCAATGTTGGGTTTTTGTTTTTTGTTTGTTTTGTTTTGCCTGAGGACAGCCTACATGTGCAACAAATGCAAGCTAACAGCCCTGTTGGAAAAGAGAGCACTAGAGCGGTGAGTAACCACCCTGGAGTAAATATGAGAAGATTTAGACAGAGCAGTAACTTTGCAACAGTTGTACAGAAACTAGAAGTACAGCAGCAAGCTGAGGAAGAGGAGATCCCAGAGGGAAGGGCACATGAGGGGAAAACTTCCTGGAAAAGGTGACGGGAGCAGAAGAGCTAGAAGGTAGTCAGCACCCATGGAAGCCGTGGAGTTATGGAACCGGTTTGAGTTACTCAGGGATGAGACTGGAAGGCAGCCTGCTGTGGAAGAACTGCAAGTCCTCCCGTGCAACACTGAGCAAGAGGCTGAAGGTCAGTCAAGTGGTGGCAACAATACTAAGGCCTGCAAGAACAAGTAGAGTATTGGTTGTGGGAGAGTCCCTGCTGCGTGGGATGGAAACACCTGCATGCCAAGAAGACTGCGGAATCATCAGGTCTGCTTTCTCCCTGGAGGACAGATTCGTGAAAGACTGCTCATAAGTCTGCAGACATGTGTCCCTTCCTTCTTATGCATGTGGGAACAAAGACCTTGGCAAGCAGAGCTTGGCTTTGAAGAAATCATGTCAGACTTCAGGGAGGAAGGTTAAGAACTTTGGGGTCCAAATCATTTTCTCTTCAGTCCTTCCAGTTCTTGGAAGAGGACTAGACAGGGAAAGAAAAAGCCTCCAGGTGAACGCCTGCCTGGCTAGGAAGGTGGTGCCAACACGAGAGATTTGGATTCTGGGACCACGGGCTACACGGGCTTCTGGGACTGCGGGCAAGGGATGGATGGCACCTTAAAAGGACTGGAAAGAAGGTGTTTTGCCACAGCATGAAGGAGCCTGTCTTGAGGGCTGTATACTGAATCCTATTGGGGAGGGAGACATCGACTTGGGCGTAACAACAGGCCAAGGCCTACACATCACAACAACTCTAACAGTGCCTAGTAACAATCTTCCACAAACGCAGGAAGTAAGCTAGAGTAGAATGCATGTAATTTTCAATGTCTATATACTAGTGCCCAGAATAAGGGAAACAGGCAGCATGGCCTGGCATCCTGAATACAGAAAGATGAATACAGCCTGGTAAGTGTAACTGAAAGGGGGAAAAAAATTGAGAACTACAGACCAGTCAGTCTGAAATCCCTGCAAAAATTCTGGAGCATATAAGAAAGCACTCAGTCGGCAAACAAGAAACCAAATGCATTGTTACAAGAGGTGGGATGCTTGGCTCTGCAATACTGCAAGTGAGAAGGATCCTATTTTAGCCTCCACTAATAGATGCATCACATCCAAATCAAGCCAAGTGCCAGTTCCTGTACTCAGCACCAGCTAGGCTTCATCTGCAGTACTGTGTCCGTTTACAAAAGATGCAGACAAGCTGGGAAGGGCTCGGAGGAGAGCAACAAGGGTTCTCTGGAGGCTGGAAACAAAGTCCTATGGGTAGCGATTGAAAGAACTGTGCATATTTAGACTTTGAGGAGAAGACTGAGGGGAGATATGCTAGCCCTCTTCGAGTACTTGAAGGGTTGCCACAAAGAGAAAGGCCAGGATGTCTTCTCAGTCATCTCAGAGTGCAGGACATAGAACAATGTGCTCAAGTTACAAGAAGCCAGGTTCTGGCTGAACATCAGGAAGAAATTAGAACAGTATGACACTGGAACCAGTTACCTAGGGAGGTTGTCGGCTCTCCCACACTAGAGGCACTCAAGTTGCAGCTGGACAGCCATCTGAGAAGGATGGTTTAACTTGGAGTCCTGCTCTGAGCAGGGGATTGGACTCAGTGGCTTTCTGGCCTCTTCCAACCCTGCTATTCTATCTGCAACTATTGGAGCCGCAGTTTAATACATGTAGATGAGCCCTGTGAAAGCGGAGGAGTTTGGTGTGTTTTCCCTGTAAATATGGTGTATGAGGATCTGTGCTCTGTATCTATATTTTTGTGCAGTAACAGTGCCAATGACTGGCAGATCTTTGGCTCATTCAATGGAGGAAGATGAGCTCTGAGGCTGGATGGTGGCTTGGGTGGTTTCCTTGAAGTATCACATGACATTTTGAAGATCCATTTTTGATTTACTAAACCCAGCTTTTACCTTCTTCTACAGTGCTACCAAGTTACAAATCTATGAATCCATGATTTGGTCAATGATGGCAGGCATGCTTAGGGATTTGGTAATGACTTGGAAGAATTCCTTTGTAAAACTATGAGGATCCATGGCTCAGATCAATGTTTTTGGATTGTGGCGGTGCCTCTGGGTGTAAGATCTGGAATGTTTATGATTCTGTCCAGGGAGGCATATGTGTATTCTGGATCCATTGCTGGATTCAGGGATTTTCCTTGTAAAACCCCTGAAGATTCGTAAAGATCCATGCCTCGGATCCACGTTTTTTTCTGCTACGGCGGTGCCAGTAAATTCCAGTTCTGTGATTTCTGTGGTTTAATTCATAAAAACTGGTGTGCTTTGAGACATTTTATCTGGAACAATGCGTATCCTCAAGGAAAACTTTCAGTGTCAGTATCAGTTCCATCATGGTCACAATTTGCACCATGGACAGGCGTGTTCCGCAGCTGCATGGTTTGGAATCTTTGCCTGCAAAGATCACAATAGCCCCAAAAGATACGTACTTTGGATCCAGTCAGGGACCTGGTATCTGCGAGTGCCAGGTCCCTGATTTTTATTGTTCAGTCTATGGAGGTATGAATTTTCTGTAATTTGATTGCAGTTTGCAGAGTTCCCTTCTAAAAATCATGTGCAATCACGAGGATCCATGCCTTGGATGCATGGTTTTGTGGGGCCAGTCTCAGATCTGTGATTTTTATAATTCTGTCAGTGATTTGGCTGTAGTTTGGTGTCCCCTTATCCTATGAAATAAGTAACATTTTTTTAAAAAATGGAGCCTGCTTTTATTTTCTTGTTTGTTACCAGTTCTTTTAATCCTATGCACTTCTTCTTCAAAGGTAGTCTGCAATCCTAAACACGGGAAAAAGTTCAAATTCGTTCCGTGGAGTGGAGGTTAGAAAGCTGCAAGCGTGTCTGTTATTCTGCCCGGGATGCAGGCAGCACGCTCCAAGGCGACCGACTCTGCGTCGGTCCCCCCAGATCCTTCCCCTACCGATTCACATTCCACGGGGAGGGCACGCCACGCGGGGAGGCCCCCTTGCCCAGCCCCACTTCCGAGAGGAAAAGCACGGATCTAGCCGAGCGGCGCGAAGCGCTCGGCCTTGTGCTGCGCAAGGTCAACCAAGCCCCGGGCCCGGGCGCCCCGCGCGTCTCCCCCCGCGCCGGCCGCCTCTGCGGAAGAACGGACGGTGCCCGGGCAGCCATGTTGCGGGTGCTCCGGCGAAGGCCTGGCGTGTGCAGCACGCCGCGCGTGCACACGCCCACCCTTGCCCCAGATCCTCCCGGGTTAACTTTCAGGGAAGTTTCTGCCCTCGCGGGCGGGGCGGGGGGGTCGCGCCGGCCGCCTTGCACTTGCGAAAGCGGGCGGCGGGGAGCTGGGCGCTCCGCGAGCGCGCGCGCTGCGCAGACGGGCGTGCCCGGGGGCGGACGCTGCCCCGCGGACGCGCACAAAGGGCGGGTGGGTGGGCGAGGAGGAGGGCGGCGGGGGCGGCCCCGCGGGGGGGACGCGCCCCGCCGCCCGCCGCGGGAAGGCTCCGGGAAGCGCCCGCAAGCGCCGCTCGCCTGCGCAGGCGGCCGCTCGGCCCTCTTTCCCCGTCGGCGCGCGCGCGCGGGCGAGTCCCGCCTCTCGCCCGGGCCCCGCAGCGCCCGCCTTCGTTTTTCCCTGCGCGGCGCTGCCATTGGCAGGGGGGCGCGTCACTCACGGCCCGAGACCCGTCTCGCGCTCCTCATTCATGCAGTTTGGTTGAGTGTTGGTGTATTTTACTGTTTGCAATAAGTGGGGGGGATTTTTTTTTTATTTTTTGTGTGACGGTGGTGGTGGCTCAGTTTCTGCTGCTGCAATTAACTCTTGGTCGTTTATACAGTTTTGCAAACAGACGGCAGTATATACTTTTATATACATATATATTTTAATCCAAGCCTTTGTAAAAACAACCGTATTTGTTTTGCGCGCGGTGCTTTTTCTTTCCTTTTCTTGGGAGGGAAGGGGTGGCTGTTTCATTTTTTTTTTCCTTTTCAAATACACGTTTCTCTCCTTGTTTTGCAATCAACTATTAAGGTGCAACTATGCCCAAAAGAAAGGTAAGGAAGCAAACAAAAATATGGTGGTGGGAGTATCGGAGGGAGGAAAGCGTTATCAAGCCCGTTTGAAGGGGGGAGGAGGGAGGATTAAAAAAAAAAAAAGCCTTGATTTGCGCGCGCGCTCGCGCCAGTTTGTTGGGTGGGGGTCGCATTTAATATGTCTGCATGTCGTAAAGTGAAGCCGAAGCTCGACGAAGAGGCACTTCGGAAAGGCGATCGGGGCATGCCAAGGACCAAGCCGAATAGTTTCGGGCTGTGTCGCTTGGGAAGGTGGCTGGGGGATGTCTCCATGCTGGATTACAAACAGCCATAGAGCCGCGCGGTGCCCTTATGGAGATCGCAGGCAGGGCGCTGGAGCTTCTGCCTGCTTCCCCCTCCCGCCCTCTTCCCCCAGTCCCCGAAGCAAGCCCTCCCGAGGCGGCCCCCGGCCGAACCCTTCCACGGGCGTGCGCTGGGAGCGTTCCAGCAGCAACCATGGCTTGCAAGATTTGGGTTCTTTCTCCAGCCTTTGCCTTTGTTCTTTTTTTTTTTTGGTCCTTCCTCTTACTTCTTGTCATACCAGATGGTTGTGCAATGGTGATCGGAGCCATTAGGCGGCGCAGAGTTTTGAAACTGGCCTTGCGGGGAAAAGAGCCTTGACATAGGATTCCGATCGTCCTGCTGAGCAGAAGTTGGTGGGAGGAGATGAGATTTCCTCTCTCCTCTCCGTAAGCTCCTTTTCTGCCTATAGATGAGCGAGGGGATGCTCTGCGCAATGATGCTTTGATTAACTTGTGCAATTAGGCGGAGAGAGGGGGGGATTTTATTGGAGAAAAACGTGATGTAGTTTGCAGGCATTTTCACTAGGGGAGGGAGCGCTTGGATCCTGTGCGCTCGGAGCCTCCGTTATCCCCCCTACCCAAATCCAAGCTGAATTCGTGCTTTCGCCGGAGAACGACTCCGTGGGATCTGCCCAGATATGCTGAACGTGTCCGCGCCCTTGCAAAACAAATCAGACAAAAAACCCAACTCGCAACCACCTTGTTGTTCCAAGTAATTTGGCGGGAATCTTCCTTTTTTAATTTTTTTAAAGGGGGCTGGGACGCTTTGGACGCGATGACGTATAACAAGCTCCCGGAGTATTGCTGGATTTGTAGTCTCGGAGCTTGGAGGCGAGTTTAGAACAGAGTAAAAGGCCTGAGCTGCGGGGAAAACGCAGTTGAGTGGGAAGGGATTGATCGGTTAATGTTTTGCATGCATTTTGCACCTTCTGATTGGCACATAGATTTCTAGTCGGGTCAAGTGCACAGGGAAAGCTGGATGGCAGTTGAGCATTAAAGCATGCAAGTTCAGACTGCCAGATCTAAATAGTAGAACAAGAAAGGAAATACATCTGTGCTGAGTCTGGAGTTACCGTGCTTGCTTTTTCTGTATTGGCTCTCATGCTGCATGCAAAACAAGTCGGAGATGACACCGGTGGTTACTTTTGAACTTCATACTCAAAACAGTGGCTCTCGGTTCCTTGTTGAAGAGGGCCTTCCATTTTGGCAAGTGCATTGAGTTCCAAAGTCTTTTGGCATACATTTACGTTAATGAAACTGAGACGAAACGAATCGCTCACATCTTGTTTGTTTTTAACCAGGCTGCAGCTGAAGGTGAGGTGAAGGAGGAGGTACGTTTTCTGTATACTATTATAAAAGTTATATTCCGGCTCGTCACAGAGAATCTTTACTCATGCCAGAGATTTTGCTTCATTGCTCTTGCATAGGTCATGCAAAGCCATGAGTTGATCACAAACGGGTTTATCACCCAAATTTCCCACCACAGCTTTGCAAGAATGGAGCTAGCTGGTGTGTGTGTGTGTGTTGTGTGTGCAAACACACACATGCAAAAGATTGCACTGCTGTAATAACTCACTGTCTCTTTGCCCTGGTCTTTATGGGGGCAAACATGACTAGAACATCTGGTTTAGGTAACATCTTGCATGGCATAGTGCCACACTTCTATAGATCGGTGAGTATTGGGTAGTCCTGGAGAATATTAAGGATACATGTGAATATCAACATCTGTTCCCAGTCCAGAGCATTTTGAGAACTGAACTTTACCATGTATGTAAAGTGCTTTGTGAGCATATTAATTTTGAGCCACTTCTTTGGCCAGAGCTGTCCTGTGTACAGGTAAAATGGTAACCATTTCTACAATGGTAAAAAATGGTAACCATTTGATACTATGATGCAACCTTACGTGGTTCACGTTTGTTTGGAAATAAACCTCAGCAAACTTTGTTGGATATACCCTCAAATTAAATATGCAGATAATGGAAGGCTTAATTTTTTACTATTTCATATTCTGTGAATTTTTAAGGAAGCTCAGCTTCAGCTTTATTAACTTACCTTTCCTTTTATGCAGCCAAAGAGACGATCAGCTAGACTATCTGCTGTGAGTAAATCTTGCATTTCTTTTATTCCATGTTATATTTCCAGTAAATGGCTTGAGAATCTTCACACTTAGGTGCCGATTGCACCTGCAAGACTGAGTGGTACCGCAGTAGGATGTTCCCTGGGAATTGCTGCAGTAGACCTAAACCTAGAAGTGAACCTCCGAACCTGGTTCAGAGCTCACTTTTATCGTGAATGCCGTGCATGGTCCTGGGGAGGCTCCGCACATCACAGAGAAGGCTGCTGTGGAAAACAGCATCTCCACCTGGAGGTCTCCCTCGCAGGCTCATTCCAGCTTGTAGCATGCCCTGATGCCACTGTGCTGGGCAGTTCCTTCTCCTCTGCAGTAGCAGCCATTCAAGTAGCACAGGAATGGGAAAATGCACAAAGTTGCCAGAAATCTTATTTATGCCAAGAGTTCCATTCTTTCTGTATCAACTAGGATGCAGTGCAGTGACAAATTAGAATAAACAATCCAACAATTTGAAACAATCTGAAATGGTATACATCTGATTGCAACAAGATAGCAGAAAAACAGCCAAAAGCTAAAACAGTTTTAAAAGGCAACATATCTTGAAGAAACATTCTGAAATACAACCAATTTCCACCATGTATCTAAAAGTGGGCAGTGAATAGGCCAGACAGATGAAGCTCTCCTCCTCCTCCTCCTCCTGTTTTTGTCTGGTTTTATTATCTGTTTTAGCTGTCCCTATTTTTAAAAATATTTTTTCTGATTTTATGACATTGTATTGTATTTTTATCATAGGTTTTTATGTAAACTGCCTATGACTCTGGGGCAGTATAGAAATGAAATAAACAAATTCTGGACATCACACCCGAAAAGGCTGTATCTTATGTGCCAACAGAAACATAACGCAGGATCTCTGAAATGGAATAAAATGCTGAGGTTCACCTGGGAGGAGGCTGTCCTTAAGGTCTAGGGAAATTCACACAGTAGTCCCTGAGTCTGCTTTCTGTTTAACGTTTCTGGTAGCGGCATGTTCTCTAGGGCACACCTCAAAATGAGCCAAGATTTGTTTAATGCAGCACCCGGTGCAGGACTTCTTGAACTCAGTAGGGCTTCCTGAACAGGCCGTGCACCGTGCTCCGTATGGGACCTCCACTTGATTTCAGTAGGGCCTGAGCAGGAGAAGTCTTTGGGATTATGTCTAGTTTTATATATAATGAGTATTTAAATAGAAGAAGTCACCCCCTTTGGCAGAGTAAGTCATATCTTGCACCCGAAAAGCTACCTTTTGAGCCTGGTATTAAATGCGTACGTTGTACATGTACTTCCTTTGCTTTGCTACTCATTTACTTCCTATATTCCTCTTTGTTAATTATAGGAAGGCCAAAAATAGCCTCTGGAAGACCCATCACTGGAGAGTCTCTAGACATTGCCTGTGTATTAGATGCCCATCTGCACAAGCAGAAGGGCTGAAAGAAATGTTTGTTTTAAAGGAGAGGTGCAGGCTTCTGAGCTTGCTAGGCTAGGACCTCTCTGTTCTTTTTATGCTTCACCAGCCTTACACATCTGTCTGCTTCTCTTGCAGAAACCTGCTCCACCTAAACCAGAGCCAAAGCCCAAAAAGGCAGCAGCCAAGGTAAATGGAGCACAAGCCTAACATACATGTAACGGTTCAGACTTATTCCTCCGATGTTACTTGATTTTCTCTCTCCCTGTTTTATTTACTCCATTTAAGTTTATCTTATTTTTACTTTGCTTGCTTGTGTAAAAGTGCATGTGCACAGATGCTACAGATACAGCACCAAGGAATATTACATACCTTATGTCATATAAAGTTCCCTAGCATCCAGACATATGGGATTTTCCCAGGCCTGGTGTAATTCATGCACAACATAACTAGTCTACAACAGTGGGTAGTTTTTCGGCTCTTGGATACCTCTGCTGCTGGTCATGTGGCAGACATGCCACCGTGAGCATGACTGTCTCAACCTCTTTCTTCTGAGGATTCTGCTTCCACTGTGCTGAATATGTGTGATCAGTCTTTGATTTCATCCACTCGGGATTCTTTCTCCAGCTGCTCTCGAGCTGTCTCCTCCTTGCTTTATTTCTCTCAGTGCTGGAGTGTGCTGCAGAGTGGTACAAAAAGGCATCCTGGAACACTCCTGTCAACTGTTCTGGTTGTTTCTACATTCTACAGATCAACCAGGTTTTCAACAGAAGGGTCAGCCATATCAGCTGGAAACCTCCCCAGAGCCCTCTGGAAACCATTCCTTCCAGGAGTGGACCATCTTGATAGGTCTACCATCATTGCAGAGGGAAAAAGCTGCCCTTAAGTCTTTACTTCAGAAGGGGATGAGCTGACTACAACAGTTGGACTGAGTCAAAGTCCCACATTTTCATAGCAGCATCTCCATGGACAATTGAGAAAGGCCCAGTCTAGCATATGCCCTGCTACATGTGTTGGGCCAGTGACATGCTGTAACAGCTCCATGATGGTCATGGAGATGACGAAGGCCTGATCCACCAGAGACAAGGTACCCGTAGCATAAAAGCCGACATGCCCTAGAACCAGCAGTCTGGGTAACCTCAAGGGCACACCCAGGACTTCTGTCAGCTCAGAGAGGGAGACTACGGAGCAGTAGGCTGAGCAGTACCCAACAGAGTCCCCAGTCTGTCCTATTGGCCAAAATCACTGAGTGCATTTAAAATATTATAAACAACGTGCCCAAATTAATTTTGAAGTATTCAAGCTCCAGCAGAATCTGCTAAGCACGAAATATATCTTAGCCAATTAACAGTGCTGCAGTTAACGTGGAAGGCAGCAGCAGTTTCTTCGTTGTTGGCAACAAAGTTTTGCAATTCTGTAGCCATGATTTTTGTTGATACTCAGCAGCAGTCCTGCTTTCGCACTTTCTTCTTTCCCTTTCATCAGGGGACCTCTCCATTCATTTCTGTTGACAGAACAGTAGTATGTTGCCATCTGCATAACTTAATTTTATTGACGTGTCTGCCACCAGTTTTCACTCCTTCTCATTCTAATCCAGTTTTTCTTATGATTTTTTTCCCTGCATACTGATCAGACAGACAGGGAGATAAAATATCCTTGCCTGATGCCTATGGGAAACTATTCTGTCTCTCCCTATTCTGCCCTCGGAGTAGCTGCTTGTTCACAGACGAGCATTTTGAAAAGGCACGCCATGCTTGTTTTCTGTAGCCGTACCACTGAATACTTCCACCTTGGAATTCTGCCACTTCATTTTGTTTGTAGAGCAGAAATACTGGCTGGGGATTGCTGAGAGACATAGGGATTTTTTCTGCCTGGACTTCCATAGGACAGTGCCTTTGTTATAAGCATTTTACGGTGTGCTTGAGTCCTTCCATGAACGTGAAAGACATGCAGGACTTTCCTTTTAACGCAAGATACATGAACAGGGAATTTAAGCAGTTGTTTTAAAGGGGAGTCGGTATTATCCCATCAGTGGTAGTTTTGTCTTTAATTTGGCACTTCATGGTATGGTCATAAAGATAGAAATATTTGCCCAAGCTATGGCTGAGAGAAGCTTTAGACAATTTTATTTGAGTCTTAAGTTCCTTGTTATTTAAAAGGATCGATGATAAATTGTAAATGGTTGCTACCAGTTTTTGATGTTATTCCTTAACAGAAAGAAAAAGGTGCAAATGATAAGAAGGAAGAGAAAAAAGTGGCAGCAAAGGGGAAGAAGGGTGCCAAAGGAAAAGATGAAACTAAACAAGAAGACGCTAAAGAAGAAAACCACTCTGAGAATGGAGATACCAAAACTAATGAGGTAGTAACTGCCCCGCAGTTCTGAGAACCATTTCTAAAAGTATGCCATACAGCCATCTTGAAATTCTAGATTGCAAATTTTGGCTGGCCTTAGTGTTATTATTTGTGGAAACCTTTGTGAGGTCGATCATGTGGTTTTTGCTGTTTGCTTGTCTCTTCAAAGCCTGGCAAAAGGCAAAACGCTGCCCCCTCTCTCCCAGTCCTTGCACACAAGAGAGATGGAATCTCTCCTGTCTGGCGTAAAGCAAGAGTTTCCCCCCCCCCCCGACTCTCAGTGTGTGTGTGCACGCATGTATGTGGGTGAGCACCACCAGGTTGCTAGTGGTGACAGTGGAAACATACATCTGGAGAGCTAGCATGCCAGGTAGAAGCCCTCTCCTTGAAGTGCTTTCCTACAGCAGAATGACTTACGTGTGTTACTCTTTTAGAACCCCTGAACTGTTACCTGTTTGATCTCCCCACCCTTTTGTACAAGCTTCAGGTTGCTGTGAGTGAGAAAGCCTGCAAAGTTCAGTCTCCTCAAATGTCCCCACTTGGCTTCTGGCATGGGAGCAGTGAAAAACTCCAGGCATGATGTCTAGACCTGGGATTCTGGCTCCTATCTATCAAGTGAAAGTTCTGGAGTCCATAATTAAAGCCTGTGTACCAACATCTGGCTTATTGAGGGAGGTAAAGCCAGGACTCCCAGTTGGATGGCACACTGAACAACCCAGGGATAGGAACCAAACTAGTTTGCAACAACTAAGGGTTTAACTTCCAGGGAAGTTTGTCTTTTAAGTTTGCAGGTTTAGGAGAAGAAAGGAACTTGCTGAAGGAATGGGCAGCTGCTGGCCTTTATATATTGAATGGGGTAGTGTTTTTCCCTTGAGAAAATAAATCATACGGATAAGACTTGAGCTACTTAGAGGCCCGGTTGCAGAAATGTGAATAAAGTTTGGGACCCAAAGCAAAAAGTTGCAGTGTATTTACACCTCTAAGAAGGGTGCTGCTCCTCGTGGATGCACACCTTAGTGTGATAAGGGGATGTCAGGATGTCAGAAAATCCAAGAGCAATTCTATCAGGAGATCAGAGTTTCTCAGGAGGCTGGTCTCCTAGCAGGGTCACCCAGGTGGAATGGTCAAAGCTGAGACACCAGCCAAAGATGCACCCATCCTCTTCAGGAGTAACAGTGACATCAGCAGAAGAGAGTAGATCTGTCTCTAATGGTAATGGGCCAGATAAACTTCTGAAGGGCAGTAGTGGTAATTGAAGGTGAGATTAGTGGAGGATCTTTCACACCTTGAAGACCCTATGATGAAACAATCTACAATGAAATGAGAAATAGCACCAGAAGATGAGGAGTTCAGGTCAGAAGGCACTTAGCCAGCTACTGGGGAAGAGCAGAGGACAGGTACAAATAGCACTGTCGCGAATGATGCTAATAGGTCAAACCGGAAAGGAAGTCTAATGGCCAACATGCAGAAATGGGGAATTCTGACGCTTCACAACATGTACAGTTGGAACAAGGAATGTAAGAAGTATGAATCAAGGTAAACTGGAAACCATAAAGCAAGAAATGGGATGATCAAACATCGCAGTATTTAATGTGAGTGAACTACAGTGGAATGGAACAATTTCAGTCAGACAAAGTGTTTTACGGAAGCGTCAACTGAGAACTGGAATGGGTCTAATACTGAGCCAAGATGTAACCAAGCAGGAAGGGGTGATAGTGCAAAGTCCAACCAATCATAACAGGCAGAATTCTTGACTAACCCATCATAGAGCCATCTTTCAAATCGATGCTTCGGTGACAGGTACCAAAGAAGAAATCGGGGAAAAAAAGTATGCAGGTGTTCAAGAGGAAATTGATAACACATCAAACCAAGACATGCTGATAAACAGAGGTGACTGGTCCAGAGAAGAAAAACACAATCAAGTGTTGTGGGAGAATTTGGCCTAGGGGTTAGCAAGACAGCAGAAGAGCGATTCATAGAATTTTGTGAAGCCAACCATCTGTTTATCAGAAATACATGCTTCAGGAAGCCCATAAAATGTTTACATAGACATCACCTGATGAAAAATAGAGAGATCAAATAGACAATGTAAATGGAAGTAAGAGATGAAGGAGCAGTTTCTTGTTCTCAAAAAAGACCAGAAGCATATTTCTTCTCACTTGTCATTTCCAGTGTAAAACACTTTGTGTTTGTCTAACTGAAAATATGACAATGAAATCTTAATATTAAAAATCAGAATAAAACTGAAAGGATCACTAACAATATAATATAAATAACATTTCTGAGGAATTTGAAGTCCATGTAAAGAATCTGAATTATTGAACTCAATTGACTATGAACCAAAAGAACTATAGATTGAAAACAGAGACATTATTACGGAATAATACAAAAGAATAATCCTGTGGCAGAAAGAAAGCAAAACCTAGATAGCGGACAAAAGAACCACAACTCCTAAGGACAGGAAAGAAATAAAAGCAAAAGGTAGCAGAAGAAGGAGTAGAAAAATACTGAATGCAACTTTTCAGCAACCATCACATAGAGACAAAAGGAAGTATTACCATGACCAGTACAAAGAAATAGAAAAGAACAGGAAAAGTGAGACCTCTACAAGAAGATCCAAGATACCAAAGGAAAATTTAAAGCTAAATCAGGAAAGCTGAAGGACCAGGAAAAGATATTGGGAAAGAATATATGAAGGAACTATACCGAAGAGATGAAAGGATGGCAGACTCCTTGAAAGAGGAATTCTGTCAGGAAGAGCTTGTAATATTAGAAAGCAAAGTGAAAGCTGCTCTAACAGGACTTGGAAGAGACCAAGCACCTAGGCTAGATAGGGTACCAGTAGAACTATTTCGAGCTACAGCAACTGAATCGGTTCAGATTCTAACAAGTCAGTCACAGACTCTCAGCTGAACCTGTTGCACAAGATTATGGTTGTGAGAATAAAATGGAGCAGTGCAAGCTGCCTTTGGTTCCTTCCAAGAAGAATAAAGTCAGGATAGAAATGCAGTGTAATAACAGCAATGGCATCGACATCATCATCATCGCCATCATTCCAGCGATACCCCATTACTGTCTCACTGAAAGCAGGGATAAATTGAAATGACTCCTGCTGAGACTGAAAGAAAGCAGAAAAGCAGGATTGCTCTTGAATATTAAGAAAACAAAAATCGTGACTACAGAAGAACTGCAGCGCTTTATGGTCAACAGTGAAGAAATTGCAGTTGTGAAAGGTCATCCATTCAAAAGGAGACTGCAGCCAAGAAATTAGAAGAAGACTGAGAGCAGTGAAAACTAGAAAAGATCGTCTAATGTAAGGACTTTTCACTGGAGACAAAGGTCAAGATCATCCGCACTATTGTATTCCCAGTTACTGTGTATGGGTGTGAAAGCTGGACAGTGAAGAAAGCGGACAGGAAAAAAAATGTACGCGTTTCGCACATGCTGCTGGGGGAGAGCTTTGCGAATGCTCTGGACCGATAGAAAGCGAAACAAGTGGGTCTTGATCAAATCAAGCCAGAACTTTCCCTGGAGGCAAAACTGACACACCTTAACCTGTTGCATTTCAGGTACATCATGAGGAAGGAAGACTCCCTGGAGAAGACAATCATGCTAGGGAAAGTTGAAGGCAGAAGAAGAAAAGGAAGACCAAGTAAGAGATGGATTGATTCCATAAAGGAAGCCACAGCCCCAGACTTACATGAACTGAATAGGGCTGTGAAGGACAAGACATTTTGGAGGGTGTTCGCTCATAGGGGTGCCAAAAGTTGAAGATGATTTGACAGCACCTAAGAGCAACAAGGAAGTTGCTTCTGTTCAGGGCACTAGGCAGCCTGGAAGAGGCATCTGGGAGAACAGTTCAGATCTTATGGGTGATGGGGAGCAGGTTTGACAACCTCCAATAGCATTTTAGCTAGAATGAGTACATAATTCTGGAGCTCTAGAAAAGCATCCCCGATCCAAAATATTGTCAGCAGTTTATCTTCTTCAGTTCCTCTGCTCTTCATTTTTCCTTTTCCTCCAGTCGATACACAAGTATTCCTTCCTTCAACTACAGACTTGATAGATACTGGATCTGCTTGCCTTCCTGTTTCTTTCACCTTCCCCAACCTGGTGGTCCCTGATACGTTGGACTACATCTCCCAGCGTCCTACAACCTGCTCTACAACTATGGTGCACCAGCTTGTGGAAGGTTGCTTTAGACCCTTTGCTGCTTCTCCTCTCCCCATCTGTAGGTTCAGCTGCCATCAATATTGAATAAGCTCAAGAGTTTCTGTCAGGCAGTTCAATTTTTTATTTTTATTTTTTCTATCACGGTTTTCCTTTCTGTGCACCTAGGCACTCAAGCACCTAAATGCACTCTTAGGAATGATGTTTGGCACTTCACAGAATAAAGGAGATGGGCTGTGGGCCATGCTTTTTCAGAGTGCAATTTGGAATTGTGTATTCACTTTCATGAGCAGGGATAGAGGTAATAAAACAAGGGTCTATGGGACAGGGAAGGACAGAGCTCTGGTACATTCAGAATACTTTATAATTTAGCATATGATTTGGACTCCAGCTTCCATCAGCCCCAGCCCAAATGGCCAGTGGTCAGGAATGATGGAAGTTCTAGTTCAAAACATCTGGAGAACATCAGGTTGATGGAGGCTGATTTAGGGGCTTTGTGGAGGTGGGTACTTTAAGCAAAAGTAGAAACTAGAATGTTTCCTCTGTAGAATACAATGTTTTCTTATTAAAAATATTTTTTCCCCTCCCAAATACTGACAGGCACCTGCTGCTGAAGTATCTGATGACAAGGAAGCCAAGTCCGAGTAACAAACTTAGCCCTCTTCATCTTCATCTTTTGGTATCCATACCTCCATACTGTATTGTTAAGAGAGGAATATTTTTATCAACTATTTTATAAATGCAGGTTTTTTTAGCATGAATTTAATTATGGAACATCTTCATCTCAGTTACTTGGAACTTAAACCAACAAAACAAACAGAAAATCATTGTTTTTAAAATTTTGTGATTGTCATAGTTTGTATGGTACCCAGAAAGAATCGGTGGTAGCTGTTGACTTCTGTCAGTATATAATCCCTTTGTGTGTAAGTCATACAGGCTTCAGATTTTAATTTCACCCTTGTTACGTGTTGTATGGTTTCTTAATGTGGGGAGGTCTCAAAAAAAACACACACACACAAACACAATAATTGCGTCAGACATTCCGGTGGTTCTGTGTGGGTTGCTTTTATAAAGAAGGTGAGATATTTTCTTGAAAAATCCTAAGAAGCTGGAAATCTTGTTGTATCCCAAATGTAGTTTTATTTTGTCACATTTTGGAGAATAATAATTAAAAAAGTGTAATCATGTTTTTAAATGAAATACAAAAAATCTTTTACAAAAAGAAAATAGCAGGTTGACTGAATTATACCCACTGTTAGGAATTTTGCTGGATTTATCTTAATAAAAAAAGACTCCTCAGAAGATGAATTGCTTGTCGCTTAAATTGGAGAAACATTTCTGCACCTCGTGTATTCATTTTCTTTCTGTGTCAGAAGCCAGGCAGGAGAGGAAGAGTTGAGCTGAGTGGCTTTTTAAGGGACTGAATAGTGTTTGGTCTAAGATCTGGGCAACTTTTAGGGTCAAGGGGCTCTCAACACTCCCTAGAAATCACTAGAGGCCACTTCACCAAATCTGCTGCTGTAGTGGCAAAACCTCCAGGGCTTTTGCAAAGGAAGCAAGTTTGTGGGGATCAAGCATCTTGTTGCAAGCAGAATTGTTATTTATTTATTAGAAGCATTTCTGCCCCACCCTTTACTGAGGTCGCAGGATGGCAGTACAATAATAAAGAGCAGCATCAATGAATAACAACATAAAATCCATATTAAAACCACATTCATTCTTAAAATATTGGGAAAACAAAGAGGTCTTGGCCTGATGCCAAAATGAATGAAGTGTTGGTTCCAGGCACACTTCTCTGGGGAGCATGTTCCAGAGGCCGGGTGCCACCCCAGAGGAGGCCCTTCTCCAGGTATTCTGTTTGCAAACAAAAATGCTAACTACTTGTTTTCTTGCAAAATCTCTGCCTTTTTGCTATCATGGTAACAAAATCAGCATTAGGAAGCTAGGCTCTGTAAAAATGGTCATAGAAGACACAGGATGGCCCCCTGCCTCTTCTATGAAGGGGAAACAACCCCGCAAACCATTTGCTTTCCTTTTTCCCAGTAGCTGAACTTGAGACTGAGCATTGCACCACCATCCGTTTCACAGCCCTGAATTCCAGAAGAAGTAAAAACTCTGCAAAAGTGGTGTCACAACATAATGCTTTTCTCTAGAAGAGGCAGAAAAGCAATTAAGCTATCAGGGAAGGGGACCGGAGATTGACATAAATTAATGTCCAAATACAAGACAGGCATAATTAAGTGATACTACTGTCTTATTTTGGATTGTTCAGTCTTCAAACATATATAACAATGGTCAAGCAGTTTTGTACGCCTTCTCAAACCAGCTTAGGGCTTTCAGTAGATTTAGCTATTTGGCACTGAACTTTATGGCAATTTGAATTTATTTTATTTATTTTTCGATTTATATCCTGCCTTTTTCCTGCAAAGGGCTCAAGGCAGCTTACATCCTCCTCCTCCTCCATCTTATCCCCACAACAACATCCCTGTGAGGTAGGTTGGGCTGAGAGTCTGTGACTGGCCCAAAGTCACCCAGTGGGCTCCATGGTTGAGCGGGGACTCGAACCTGGGTCGCCTGAGTCCCAGTCCCATGCTTTTAACCACTGTGCCACACTGGCTCTCCTCTTAGCTGTGTGACCCAACCAAGAATACAGGTCCATTTCTGTTTGTTATGCAAGAAAGATCTATGCAGACACAGCTGTAGCCCAGATCTAGGTCTGGATTCAGGGCTTGCCTTCTGCAGAAGGAAGAGACCTTAAGAGAAAGAGCTTCCTCATGGAATAACATCCTGTTCAGCAAGACTGACAGTCTTTGTAGCATTTTTAAGTGGCTAGAGGGGTTGCCAACGTAAGGAGAGGGAAACGGAAGTCCACATATGCCAGGGTAGTCAATCCATCTTGGATCTGAATCTGAACGCTGTTTTATAAACGACCCAGCTTTCTTTACCCCTTCCACAAAAAAGGGGCAGAACTTTTGAGTAGTAGTATTATGCGCTGGATACTGGTTTTTTCCAACTATGTTTTCCATATGCAAACCCCCCAAATTTCTCACAGTAAACTAGCTTGTTTTAACTGCTTATAGGAGAGCGTGCATATATGGGCTGTCAGACATTCACATTTACATTGTGATCAGCTAACTTTGTCCAGACTGTTCCTTTGATTTCAGATCCCCCCTCGAAAAATGGAAGTGAATAGTAGGGCTTGGTTTGTTTGTTTGTTTATTTATTGAGAAAGCTGCTATGCTGCCCCATTTGCCGAAGCCTCGGGGCGGCTCATTCCTGGTTCCCAAACAGGAATGCTAAATCAATACTTGCCAACAACAGGATGATGATATAAGAAATCCAATAAGGGAGTTGGCTTCCCAGGATTAAAAACATCAAAAATTTAAAAATAAGTGGGTGTAGGATCTGGACTAGTCATGCTTAGATACACAGAAGTCAGTGAAGCAAGGAAGTTTTGATGAACGTGTCTCATTTATGCCAGCAGTACTAAAAGCATAATTAAGGATCCAATCCCAGGCATCTAAGCAACAACAGATTCTGCAAATTATTTGGAAAAAATTTAGGCAAGAGGAATAGCTCATAGACGTTTCTTTCTGATTTTCATTTGCCGCATCAAGTTAGCAATTGATTTATGTAATAATGAAATTTTCCATGCAATGCTAGTTATATCTACTCAGAAATTAGGCTCAGTGGGTTTAATATGACTTGTTCCTGAGTAAAGGATTACAGCCATACAGTCCTAAGCCTTATTCTATATATGCTTAATTGGTAGTAAATTCTAGTAATTTCAGTTGGAGTTTCTTCCAGTAGAATTGCAGATTTTTCTCTGCCTGCATGTTCTCTATATATATTAAACTAGAATAAGACAGGATAAAATGTCACGATCTGCCAGAGACCACTAGTATAAAAATGTAGTCATGTTTAACATTACCACAAGCTGTACATGCCTTGTTAATGTAAGTTTTGTTAAGTTTTGAGACATTATGTTCAGGATCACTATTTGTGAAGTGACAACTTAATTGGGTGGTGTTGTGAGAATTCCTGTCTTTCATGATGTGTTAATCAAAGATTTTAAATTTTAATGAAAGTCCTCTAATTTGCAAAGGATTAGGTATGGAACATGTTTTGTTAAAAAAAACATACACACAAAACTTCTTGCTATAGAAGATTGACACTTAAACTCACTAATGTCTTTGTTCAAGATTTCTCAAGTTTTCATGAATAATCTTTCCTCATCGTCAGCAGGCTTCTTTGACTCAAACTGCTGCCTGTTTCAACAGCAGGTAACAAAATAGGCAAATGCTTTCAGACACATATTGCCAAAATACTCTGCACACACAGCTTGGGGTTAGCTCCCTTGATAGGGGTTGGGAGTGGGGTACGGAACATATTTTGGATACAGAATGTCCCAAGTGCAGGCCCTGACATCTCCAGGTGAAAAGATCCAACTGTCACCTTGAAGAGCTGTTCTCAACTCAAGGTAAACCGTACAGGGTTAGATGCAGAAAGAGACTGGTCTAGTAGTACAGCTACACTGAAATAAATGGCACTCCCTTCTCAGTAAACCTGCACAGGTTCTGCTCCCATACACACCTTCAAGGAGATAGAAACAGGATCGGGCTGCACAACTGTCTCGGATTGAATGAAGAGGCAGAGCAACCTTTCAGCTATTCTGTTATTTAAGACAAGTGCTCTTTGTTGCAATGAGGCATCTTTCATCAACCTCTCAGATTACGGTCCACAGTAGTGCTGCCCTTTCTAGTTGGCTGTGCGTTTTCTGTGGGGAGGATGTATCTACAAAATGAGGGGATGTGCAAAAAAATAAAAAAAGACGCACAAAACAAGACAGAGATCTTTATGTAGGCATGTTTTTTTTTTTTAATGGGGATGACTTTTCAAGGTTAACATTCTCTACCAAGAAACTTACATTCAACCTAGAGAAATGCAAATTTGCACATGATTTATTTTGTATAATCCTGCTGCTAGTCCTGACAAGGCACAAAGAATTTATACATTGTAGTCCTTTTAATTCACCAACAGAGAATTGAAACTTTGTTTTCTGGCACTACTCTGCTTTAAAACTTGACCAGATATTGTTTTCAAGCCTCTAAATGTTATAAGGGCTTGAAATGGCTTTGTTTTCTTTTAAATGGACAGAGAGTCTTAAAGCACTGGGTTTGATTTATAATGAGTCGTGCTTCATCATTGTGATTCAAGTTAAATATGACTAATGTGGTTTACTTACTATTTATTAAACTTACATTCTGCACTAATAGCCCTGCAGTACTTGCTAAGCAGATTGCAAGAAATGACAATGAAATAGCAAAAGAAAATGCATTTACTAATAAGAAACATCGATCCCAATGGTTCTATTCTAAGCAGGTTTTCATATAACCCTTTGCATTATGTGTCCACATACCAAATTAATAATCAAATATATAATTCACCTTTCACCTAATTAAAACAACTATCTAGCTACAATCTTCCATGGGCCAATGGTGGAATACACACAGTCCTGCCGATGGGTTTTCAGAGTTGGTATACATTGCATAGTATATGGCAGTTCCCAAATTGCTCCAGGGATCCTCCAGTTCGGCTGAAGCTTCTCAAGAGACAAGATTGGTGACAACAGGCAAAACTTTTAGATAGCTTATCTGCCACTGTTTCCTTAAAATGCACTGCTTCAAGGAATAATGGGATCTGTTTCAAGGTGGCTTTCTGTTCACATGAAGTGCAGATAAGGCCCAACCCGGGCAAGCCCCCGCTAGGGATTCTAAAAGGCCTCTGAGAATCTTGCACATGGCTTTAGTTAGAAGGGATGCAGAGAGTATCCTGAAACTACAAAATGTGAAAACCACCAGCTTCTGACATCTATTCCTTGTAACATGCATAGGAAAGTGAGAGGTTTACTTGCCAAGCAGATCAGAGACGAGTCTTATTTCCTGAGACTTCGCCATGGTTTATTCATTATTTATCAGCCAAAGAGCTTAGTAGCCTTGTTGCATCTACAACTGACACAAATTATTAGCTTAAGACTTTTTTTTAAAAAAAGGCTACAATGACATGTTGATTCTTTATATATATTATTTTTAAAAAAGTATCTAAGAAAACTGTTGTGCTCACATCTACCAGATATGTATCCAACTTTGGCTAGCTCCCACTCTTAGTTTATTTAAATCTAAACACGAGGGGAAAAAGTCATTCTAAACAATTGAAAGTATGAGTGTAACTATGATCAGAAATTGGAAGGGACATACAGGGAAGGAAGAAGTCTCCAGAAAAAGTTTAACACAAATTAATGGTGAGGA